GTGTACATCTAGCCTCCTCTTAAAGTCCCCCAGGGTAGGAGCCAGCACCACTTCTCTTGGAAGTTGGTTCCAGATCCTAGCCACCCTGACCGTGAAGTAGCGTCTCCTGATATCTCGCCTAAATCTACCCTCTGCCAGTTTGTGACCGTTATTCCTGGTCACTCCTGGTAGTGCTCAGGGGAGCAGGGACTCCCCCAGTGCCTTCTGGTCCCCTCTGACTAGTTTATGACAGACCACTAGATCCCCCCTCAGCCTTCTCTTGTGGAGGCTGAACAGGTTCAGGTCCCGTAGCCTCTCCTCGTAGGGCCTGCCCTGCTGCCCCTGACCATGCGAGTGGCCCTCCTCCGGACAATCCTTAACTGCTGAGTTGGGTACGACATGGACATCCAACGGTCGTCCCTCCATAATACCAACTATAATAAATTTCAGGGCTAAGGGTGAACCATTCAAGAAATACATGTTTGCTCATGAGATTTTAAAGAAAGTCACACCAGTGAACTGGTAGAAGTCACTTAAGCACCTGGATCCACAGACTATTGAAGTGATAATCCAGCTTTTAACACCAGTAACTACTTCTGCAGGTACAGAAAGAATATTTTCTTCCTTTGGACTAATTCATTCTAAATTGAGAAATGAAGAGGAAGGCGAAGACTGAGTTTGCTACACAACCCCGTATTTTAAGTTTCTCATGTTTACCTGGCTGAAATAATTTACTTATTTTTTGTTAAAAACACGTTTCACAGTTATAACTAAAATAGTTAAAAAATCAAAAATACATATGCTTGTTTTGTTAAAATAATTATACATGTTTGTTGTTGAAGAAAAATATCCAAAATACACAAGCTTGTTTTAGTTAAATAAACAATTTAAAAAGTCATAATTCAGTTTTTGATGTAGCTGCAAAATTAATCTGACAAAATACCAAAATAAATCACTGCTTTAAAATGTATAGTGTGTATCTTCTAAAAATGAAATATTAAAAATTTTTTCACTTGTTTCTATCCTGGGGCAGGCAAAGTCCAGCCCATGGGACGGATCTGCCCAGCAGTGGACTCCCATTTCCTAGCAGCCCCTGTCCGCGTGGCTGGGGCCAGTTTCCATGGGGACCCCAGAAGCAACAGCGCTGTGATAGCATGGAGCCAGGATTTCTGTGGAGACGAGCCCCAGCAGCACTGGCAGGCAGCAGCAGCACCATCTCCTTCTTGGTGGTGGGGGCTCAAGGAGAGCTGTGCTGTAGGCAGAAGCGGAGCAGGCTCAGCTGCTGCCACCTGTATAGGGCGGGCAGCAGTGGTGGTGGTGCTGGGAGGGGTGGCTATGGGTCATTTTGGGCTGGCTATAGCCATACCTAGTCCCCCCACTCAGTACCACCCATGCTGGCAGGGCACAGAGCTGCTCCAGAGCCGAGTTAGGACCTTGCAATGGTGACAGCATGATCCAGAGTCACAGCAGAGCCACAATCTTCAGCCTGCATGCTTTGGGCGAAGACATACAGGCAGTGGATCTGCCCTGGCTCCGGACCACCCTCTCAATGCTGCAAGATCCCAGCTGGGCTCCAGAGCAGCTCTGTGCCCTGCCCTGGCAGCGCTGCTGGGCCCGATCTCCATGGAAACCCCAGCCTCCCACTATCACAGCACCGCTGCCACTGGGGTCTCCATGGAAACCAGCCCCAGCCACATGGGCAGGACCTGCTGGAATATGGAGCCCAGCCACCATTTTGCCCAGCCCTGTTCTATCCTATATCAGTAAACGTACGGACTGCAGTAAACACAGAGGATAATATAAACACTGTTTGGTGACAGATAAGTGTACACGTGATGATTTAAAGGAAAAATCAATGGTACATGGTATTGTAATAAATTTGTCTAAAAGTACAGATAATTAAGAAATTTTAATATGAGGATGCTTCTCTTTTAACACTTGAATGTAAGTATGCATGCAAGCGCACACCATATCTGTGTTATAAAACCTTACACTGAGATCTCTGAATTATTAAAACTAAAAGAAAGGAAGAAAAGAAGAAAAATAGTATTATATTGCAATTTCTGATGTGAGAGCCACAGAAAAAGTGTAGCCTTTCTAACTATTTGGAACCAAAGTCCTAGTGCAGGTTGGAAAAAAAAATGTCTGCTGTACCCAAGAATTCTCTCGTATCTAAGCTGCATTCCATTTTTTTAAGTAGGTCATTTTACTAATGGACAACTGCCCATGGGCCAAAGAAATTAATACTCTGGCTCTATGAACTACAAAACGTTTTTCTTTACTAGATGATAAAACAGCTGTTAATTTTATTAACAGTCAAACTTTATCACATCCTACAAGGTCAGGGAATCAGCTGTTCCTTCCCTTAGCAATTGTGCAGCTTCATGGTGTTTATGACGACCCTGTTGAGAAATCTATGCTGAAGGGCAGTAGTGTTGTAAGTGAAATAAGAACAAATCTCAGCAACAGCTCTTTAACTCCTTCATTTCTGGATTTTTTTAAGAAAAAAAGAATGTAGGAGTTCAACAGCAGTTGGAGAGCACAAATTGGAAGGAACCTTTGAAGATAATAAGAAAGAATGAATAGCAAAAGACTACATACGAGAATTGGGAGAGAAACTAGAAGTGGGAAGGAAGAGACATGGGGAATGGGACATAGTAAGAAATAGGTGTGCAGAACTGACAGAGGTACAGCTGACTGACATTAGGTGAAGACTTTGAATTTCAGTAACTTAACTGTTTTTAAATCCAAGCCCACCATAAGCCAATTACAAAAAAATCCATTTTAAAATTAAATGTCAGGTTTCCATTTTCTGATGGGAAAAAAATTAAATTTTAGAGGAAAACAGGCATTTTCTGGAAAAAAGTTGAGTTTAGTTAAATACCCCAGTTTTCTGCTGAAAAACATTAAAACAGAAAAGATTTGGTTAACCTAGTGTGAATATATTAATATGGAAGGGATGTCTGCTGGCAGGCATGAGAGGCTGCAGAGGCGAGTGAGTAACTTGCAATAGGAAGGCAATGGCCCTCGAGCACTGAGAAGGAGAGTGCGACTGAACTGAGTAAACAGAAGGTTTGTTTCCCTGTTTCCCTACCTGCCCTACTGCAGCTGTAGAGTTGCACACTCGAGCCAGGAATTCATAGACAAATGAATCAAAATGTGAAATTACCCTTGATTTCCAAGGGACCGTCAATGTGTAGTTCCACTTTGTCTTCATTCCTGCTGTTGCTTCTCTCCTCCTGAATAACAGCCGTTTTTTTGTAAATGCCTCTCTTCACTTCGTCAAAGACTGAAAACATGTTGTACACTCGCGCTGTGTAGCCTGCTAGCTCAGTGACCTGAGAAACAACAAAAGACCTGTTTAAACAATATTATCCAAAAATGAAATACTGCATTCAGTAACTTGGGGACAACCATTTTGATTCAGTACTTCTTAGATTGATTCTGAATTAAGAAAGAATGGGCAACTTGTCAATCATTCATTTGGATAAAAAAAATCATCAGAACTACTGAACAAATTCCTTTGAGTGTGATAAAAAAAAACCCAACAATGTTAATCTTTCATTATTGTTCAAGACAGGAACATTCAGATGTGGAAATAAAAACATTACACTCCCCAATCCAAAATGTCTGGAATATCATTTACAAGCCAGATTGGGGGTTGGGGAGCAACTCACTTAGTAATCTTAGTAATTTTCCTCCCTTGATATCTTTTGTACTGGCCCAAATGCCCAAGTGTATTTCCTGCCTGCCAACAAATAGAGACAGTACATTGAGGGACAGATCCCAGATGATGTAAATTGGCATGGCTTCAGCGGAGGCCATGAGAATTTCTGATTCTATTGTCTCTAGCTAGTTTAGGAGCTACTGCCTTCCACAGGCTGGCCAAATATTCTAAAACAATTCCTATCACTTTTTTTTCAAAATATATCCCATAACTTTTAGACTTTGAAACGCTAGTACAAACAATTGTTGTAATGCCTTGAAACATTGTAAAAAACAGTGAGAAGCTTGAAAACATCAGAGAGACAATTTAACAGCTAAAGAAAAAAATCTTCTCTCTGATCTTGTGTGTCATACTGGGTGCTTAGGACTTCCTAAAGCAGCAGTGTGAATCAGCTGGGACCAATCAGCACCGTATGAACACTGCCATCAACACGCTGTCACTGACAGCTGAATCTCTCATGCCTGAACATTCATTTGCAGCATTTAGAGAACGTAGGCAGCAGAGAACGTGTAACCTAGGGAATAGCTCTCTTCCGTATTGATGCATACACTTTCTACCCCTTAACATATTTAAACCTTTCTAATGCTATTTCCTTGGAAATCACATGGGACTTCCTTGCCTGAACTGAAGTTGTTCAATTATGCTTTTTCTTTCCTTCTTCAGCTTTTCTTCTCTACCTAGAGCAGGGGTGGGCAAAACAGCCCACGGGCCAGATCCAGCCCTCAGCTACCCCTGCAGTACTCAACATGGGCCAAGCCCCACATGCTCCCACTGGGGCAGCCTGCACAGCACTCCCACCAGCAGAGCTATTCCCAGTGTGGCTGCAGCTGGCCAGGTGCTGCTCTGCTCCCCTTACCTCCGGCTTTTGTCCCGCCTGCCCAGAGTGACACAGAAGCAGGAGGAGGAGCTGCCACTAGAGGCAAGGGGAGCAGAGCAGCTTCCAGCCGGCTGCACCTGGACCAGGAACAGCCCCACTGGAAGCTTCTTGAGCTGGCCGGGGCCCAGGCTGGTGAGGCTGTTCTGCTCCCCTTGCCTCCAGCTGCAGCTGCTGCACCACTCCAAGTGGAGGGAGCTTCAGCTGGGTGGCTCCTGCCAAATGCGTAAAGCTGTGGCTCTAGCTCCCAGCTACCTTCCACCTGCTACACCTGCCCAGTGCAATAACCAACCGCCTGCAGGTGGGCAGAGCAGGTGGAAGGTGGCCGGGAGCTAGAGCCACAGCTCAACATGCTGTGCAGGAGCCAACCGACTGCAACTTCCCACCTGCCTGCCCAGAGTGGTGTGGCATAGCAGGAGCAGCAGCCACAGCTGAAGGTGAAGGAAGCAAAATAGCCCTGCCGGCCTAGGCCTCAGCCAAGTGTGCGCAGCTTCCGGTAGAGCTGTTCCTGGTGTGGCTCCAGCCAGTCAGGCACTGCTCTCCTCCCCTTGCCTCCCAGTGACAACGCAAGCCCAGCCAGCTGCAGCCACACTGGGAACTGCCCTGCTAGAAGCTGCATGCTGGCATGGGCCCATGGCTGGCAGGTGTGGGCAGTAGCATGGAATAGGAGCACTGGCTGGGCAGGGCTCAGCCCCATGCAGAGCGCCGCAGGAGCAACCACTGACCCGGCAAGCTCTGCTGCACGTGCCTCCTGCCTCTCTCCTTCTTAAAATGCAGTGCCCAAAACTGACAGTACCTGCAGCAAGACCTAGCTGGTGCTAAATAAAGTGGCATGGCTCCTTTGTCCTGCATATTAATTCTATTAATGGAACCCAAAATTGCATTTTCTTTTCCCCCCAGCAGTATCCCATTGCTGACTCACATTCCATTTGTGATCCACTACAGTGCTTCAATCCTTTTTGACAGTGTTAATGTCAAGCCATTTAGCCCCCATTGTATACGTCTGCATTTGGTGTTTCTTCTCTGTGTGCACCACTTTACATCTGCTTTGTTGAATTTTATTCTGTTGTCTACAAGCCAGTTTGTTCTTAACAAATCCATGGTGACTGCCCCTTGCACCTCCAGTTATTTACAAATGGACTGTTTTACAACTTGCTCTAGTACCTTCCCAGATAACATTGGGCTGACTTGTCTGTAACTGTCCAGATCCTGCTTTATCCCCTTTTTATATAGTCTTTTCTCCAGTTTTCTGGGACCTTGCCTATTATCAATGAGTTTGCAATTACTATTGCCAGTAGCTCTGAGATTTCTTCAGCTAGCTCTTTCAGCACCCTGAGGCGAATTTCCTCAGGCCTGCTAACACAAATTAATTCAAACTTGCCAAAAGTTTACTTATCATGATCTGCAGTTCTTCCCCTCCCTTCTTTATATTTATTTTGCTACTTGCCTGGTTGCCGGGTTATTTTTATGGAAACTGAAGTAAAGTAAAAATTGAGCACTTCTGCCTTCTTTGCACTATCTGTAAACTCACCACCCCAGTGAACAGTGGTTTCTACAGCTTCCTGCTCATCCTTTGCCATTTGATATACTTGTTACCTTTAACTCTGATTGCAATTCATTTTTTGCTTTCCTGATTTTGTCCCTATTTGCCCATGCTATTCCTTCCTTAGTGACATCCCCTTGCTTCCACTGCCTTTATGCATCTCTAGATTTTCATATGGTTAAAAAGCAACTTGTGTGGCCAGTCTCTCACAGTTCTTATCTTGCCTCCATGTTGGCATAGCTTGATGTTGAGCCTCTAATTTTATGCTGTTTAGAAATGGCAACACTTTGGAGTCCTTTGCATTTTAATTTGTTTAATCAGGAAACCTGTCCTACTATTTTTTTAGAGTCCAGTGTCCTTGTTTTGCTTACAATGGTGGCTCTCAACCAGGGTGCCATGGCACTCCGGGGGCCAAAAGAGCATTTCAGGAGTGCCACAGCATGGGTACCACTGCCACAGCCACATGGAACTGCCCTGCATGCCTTGTATACAGCCAGATCAGAAAGAGCTGCTGCATAAGCATATGATCCTCCCTGAATAAAGCTACTATGCATAAAGCAGGCAAAAGTGCCTGCTCTTGCTAGAGCCTTTTCCTGTCTGACACTATACAGCGTCTTCTGGAAACAGGTGCACAGGGCAGGTGGAACTGTCCTGCACATTTTTTTCCAGGAGGAGCGGGGGGATGGGGAGGGTCAACCAGGAAGGGCAGCAGCAAAAGCAGGCACTCCTGCCTGCTTTAAGCTTATCAAATAGACCGAATATAGGCAGGAGCATTTGCTCCTGCTACAGTCACTTCCCAATCTGGCTGTTCACGAGGCACGCAGGGCAGTTTAACTTTGTGGTGGTAGTAGTAGTAGTAGTAGTGGTGGCAGCATCAGCAGCTGTACCCTGTTTGAAGACCACCAAGGGAAGCTAGGGCTGAACAACAGTGATTCT